AAGCAATGCCCCCTTAGCATCAGCCCTCCTGCATCCCACTTGTACAGAGAATTTACTGATAATGGGGCTGTAGCACAGTGTTGCACTGAGTGTCATTATCACTGTTAAATGCTGTTGGCCTTCCCTGATTTGCACCCTGACTGAGATATAATTCTCTGCTAACCTCAAAAAGGGAAGGGTAAAACTTCAGTAAAACCCCACATCCTTCCTTTTCTATCACTAAATTACCAGTTACTAAATGGACACATTGCTGGCACACCTGGGAAAGTTGAGGGCCCAGATTTTTTGCAGTCATCAGGAAATCAAACAAGTAGCAATTGCTTTTTTCTACAGAAAATATTTATTTGCAAGAAATGAAAAGCATAACATACTTCACTACATACATATTTAGGCGAAAAAAGCAGGTAGTCTGTTCTCTCACAGAATCAGGCAGATGATTTAAAAAGGAAAAACAGCAATTTCTTTCCACCCAATGGACATGTTTGCAGTGTGAACAATCAGGTGGGACTGTATCCAGATGACAGCACTTGTACAAAAATAGAAAGGTCACTGAACACAGACACAGAGTTAAATAGACATGGCAAAGAATAGAGATATCTGCAGTCAGAAGAGGCCCCAGTGAAGTTTACAGAGGAGTTTTGAGGGAGGAGTGGTGTGCTTTTGCACTGGTATCACTGTCCCTGTCCTCTTAGACAGTTTTAAATGTTTGCACAAACCTATACTGCATTCACATGAACAGAGGGAAAGGCAAACACCAGCTGAAGGGCCCTAGGGGTGTCACAGCAGGGTGACTGCTCTGCACAGCCCAAGGCAATGGAATTGGCCATGGATACTTCTCTTCAAGAGAGCACCAGCAGGTAATTTACCCTTGGAAGGCCTAATGAATCTCAGGGAAATTGGGATGTACTTGCAGCACCCTCAGAGAGGCAACTGCTTCCCCTGGACTGCATCTCACTGTGCCTGAGGGTGGTTAGGGCATCAGTGCTCCCAGGGGCCACCTTTTAAGGCAATTTACACCACTTAAAAAAGAAAAGAATAATAAAAAAAGCATTCAAAGCCATAATTCTGCAGACCAAAAATTATACCAGAATATAAAATAATTAGTTTTTTGTACCAAGCCAGAACTGGTCTTTAGAAATGCCAGACAATCTAGGCACACACACAAAATAACACAGTGCAACAACATTCAGTCAACAATTAATCACAGGACAGTCTTCAGAGCAATGCACACAACAGTTTTACAAGTGCTCAGTGATGTGGAATGTGAACAGGTTTCAGAGAGAAATGCCTGGGCTTTCTGCTGCACCAAGCCCAAAGTGCCCTGTGTGTTCAGGTAGATGCCTTTATTTAGCAACACTTACTACAAGAAGAAAACTCTGGGGTTTTGATACCTTTTGATCATTCACCATGCACATGTGCACAGATGCACACACACACACACACACACACACACTCATTCTCTAACTGTACAAATGAAGAAAGCAAGATGCCATTATATCACTGAATTAAAGTCTGTTATGGTAAAGTCAGATATGAGCAGAGTTCTGTTTAACAAAATTCAGTACCTGCCTCTGCTTCTCCCTCTCTCTCTTCCACTCCCTTCATTATGGACTGCTAAGGCTCAGAAAGATTTTCACCTGCTGTTTAGAGGGTAAAGTGGGATATAACATAAAGGTCAGGTATGCATAAACAGGACTGCATAGCATTAAAGAGCAAGGGGAACAGGAGTGAACCCAAACCTAGCAGGTAACTAATGAAAGAGACTATCACTGCTGATTTAGGCTATTACTGCTGATTTATGGAATCAAGAACTGGAAGGCTTCCCTGTGATGCAAGGAGTCCCTTTACCTGCCTTTTCTGTAAGACAGGTCTACAAATCCAGCATTCCTATGTTCTGTTCTCATCTCTTTAGTTGCAGCTCTTGGAGGAAGAATCTGGAGATTGGTTGTAGGGCAGACAAGAGACTACTGCTAATAAAGAATATCCAAACTCCATTCAGCATCAGATCCAAACAGCATCACAAATGAGTTTCCTGCATGATGCACTTTTTCTACACAGAAATTTGATTCATATATATATATATCACACCTTGGTAAAACAGAAAAAGACCTGACATAAAAATGAGAAAACCAAATTGCAATTTCCCTCTCGATTCTAGAGTCTCCAATGGATGCTGATCACCTAAGCAACGCAGTATTAATCAGGACCAACCTTCAACAAATTCTCTGAATGTCCAATCACCAAATTCTCTGAATGCCCAATGTCACCTTATTGGCCATGAGAAAGCTACAAGATGGATTGAATCCTTACATTTTCTTTGTAAAGACCTTACTTAACACATGCATCAGTTCATTCCCCTTTGCAACCCCCAAAGTTGTCAAACCTTAATGCCAGAAAGTGCAAAGCAGCAACACATCATAGCACTACACTGTTATATAGGCTGGGACAACTTTAGTAGCTACAAAGTACTGACCTATCATTTCACCTTCAGAATACAAAATGTTCCCTTTTTAATTAGTGACTGGAGAAAGAAATATTTTAGTCACCAGGAGTATAAAAATACTCTGTATTCCTCTGTTCTGAGCTGCGTGGGTTTTGAACAATGGCCTCTTGGCATTAGCTGGAATCTAGAGCCCAAATACTCAGTGGAAATCCCTCCCAACGTAGCAATTAGCATCATTCACTCACTTGACCTACATTCTAAAAGTGTCTAGACAGAATTCACCACTGATAGCTGGGAGGGATGGGAGTGGAGAGGTGGGTTGGTTTCTTTAGCAGGGAAAAAAAAAGTTTTTAGATGAATATTTCGTCTATGTTAGAAGAATCAAGAACACATTAAGATACACTGTTACACACAGAGATGTAAAGGAAGAGGTCCCCTGTCAGTATAAATCAGACCTGCAGCCTCCAAGAGCAGTGTGTGAGAACCATGCTGGTTATATCAGCTGGGATCTGGCCTAAGAACCTCAGCCTAATCCATCAGTCTGTGCTGCTGAAAAATATTGAGTGGTACAGAAGAAATGAAAGAAGTGCAGCAAAGAACTATAAATAGCCTGGGGGGAAAAGAACTGAACACTATCTACACCCTAGTAACAAGGTTAGAAACGTCACATGCCCTGTGATTCAGACTTTTAAAATATACATATATATAAAATAATGCCCTATATTCCTTCATAGCTTATCTCCCTAGAAGCAAAGACCCAGCAGATCTAAACATGCTCTAAAGCTACAGGCCAAAAGGTAAGTTTACTACTGTGTATAAAATTGTGCTGGTGAGCAACATACCCTTACAGCTGAGGACTTTATCACTTAAGTCCTCTACTGGAAATGGAAATTACATAGCACACAAGGCCTTTGCTTCCCCTGCCCGTGCACACACATTTGATTCCACAGCACCAAGTCACTGATGAGCAGAAAAAGCACACTGGCAGAAGGCTAAGGCCTCAAGTAATAGAGCTGAACTGACTAAAAGCACTTATTGGCATCCTCCCTGAATATGCCTCACTACTCCTATGCCCTTAACCCAGAGCACAGGAGCTGCCTCTCCATGTGGTCTGCAGTGCATCAGCATTCCCAGCCCTGCCTGCTGAGGCTGGCAGTGCAATGGCACCTTGTCCTGCCTCTCCTGTCCCCTGCTAGGCACAGAACAGGGGCACAAACTCCCTCTGGAGGCCGTGGGTCCTTGCCACACCACAGCCTGTGAGTAGGTGATGGCAGGGGATTCCTGGGCCCCTGGCAGAGAAACCTGTTCTGTTTAAGGCCCCTGAAGAAAAATGATCACAAACATAGCAAAGTGAAGCAGAGCTTTTCCTTATTATAAACTAACATGTAATACAATAAATCCCCAAGCAATGTGTGTGCTAGGTCGAGAGATTCCCTAAAGAAGAGTACCTAAAAATAACTTAAAGAAGCATACAAATTAAGATTATAGTACTAGATTATCAAATACTTACAAGAAACCAGAATGGCCATACTGGCTTGGATGGATTAGTACAGAGGCCTGACCCAGACCACGGCCAGTTTCAAATGCTCAGGATGAAAACATCATTGATTATCTTCCAAACAAGATTTGAACCAGTATGCCCAAATAAAACCAAAAAAAGGGGCTAAGTTTTAATGGTGGCCAGTGCAGTAGGCTTCAGAGAGGAGGAGCTATTTTGGTTGTGCAAAATCATATATCCTGTAAGAGCTGAGAAATAATTCCACTTTGATTTTCACACAGTGAAGCCAGCCAGCTGTATCTGGAATGGGAGGTGATCCATTTAGCTGGCAATGGGCAGGAGCTCAGGCTGCACACTACAAACTGCAAGGCTGCTAAGTGGTGCTGTGCTTCACACCCTGGGGCCTCTTCTGCAAAACATTCAACCACTTGGTTGCCCTCAAAGGCAGCAAACCAAGGGTGCTCTGGAAAAAAAAGGACCATTTAAGGAATTTTCTAAGCTATGACCTTGCCCACTTATACTGACCAGTTGGGGTCAATCCCAGCTTTCTCCTGTCACTTTGCTGACCTCAAGTGGCTGAGCAATGCAGCCACCCCTTGTGGCACTCACAAGTGATCACTGTCTTAAACCATTAAAAAAAATACAGAAGTTGTTAATGGATACTGGAATGATGCAGAGAACCCAGCAGGATCACTGTGAAGAGAAACAGATGACCCATGCCAAGATGGGAACACTTGCAAAGCAGACTACAACAGCATTTCTCCTCTCATTTTTTTGTCACCTCAGGCAAAATAATAAGGCACTTGGGTAGAAGAATAGGGCATTACCTAGAAGAGCCAATCTGCACACCAGAATGAGCCCATGGAGTCAGGCACTTGTTTCACTGTCACTGACGTGAAACACCCTCTTAAAATGGCACAGGGAGGACTGATCCACAGTCCTCTCCAATTCACCAAATCCCTCCCATTCATTTCACTGGATTTTGAGTCAGGCCTGAGGGTGACAAATAGGATGCTGAAGGAAGAAAGTCTAAGGAGAATGAAGAACAAGGAAGGAGCTGGTGCGACAGCTGCTGTAATAAAATATAAATTCAATATTTTACAAAATAGAATAGCTGCAAGAAATATCTACTGTACATAGTAAAAAATTATTTGTAAGGCTAGGTTAGTTTTTCCCTTATTTAACATTAGGAAAAAAATTAAAAGAAAAAAAGAGCTTCAAAATCCTTTTTTTTTTTTTAATTGACTTCTTCTGGTAAACTGTTAAGTAGCTCTGCTAGCCTGCTGAATTAGGATTTTCACATTAGATCCATCCTCAATGGAGCAGGAGTGCCCTTCTGTAGGAACCAGATAAAACCCTGCTCAAATTCTGGACTGAGTTCAACGATGCCCCTGCAAGGACAAACTGCAAGAAGCACAGCTCAGGCAAAGGCATGACCAGGGTACTGAGAGAGAGAGAGGGCACATGAAGACAACACCATGGGACAAGAGGGAAACAAAGCATGGAGAAGAAGACTGGAACCAGGACCAGACCTGAATGCTGCTCTTGGCTTTCTCAGTGAGCCTGGCAGTCACTTCACCCCCTCCTGTGCTCATCTCATTCCTCTTTTGACAGGTCTCCTGCCCATGTAATCAGCTCCTCAGGTCAGAGGCTGCCTTGGCAAACACTTGATACAGGATCCACCACCTCTAGGCATGGGCTGGCCTATCTGTACCCAAAGCAGCTGGTCTCAGATCACACCTCTGGAAAAGCAGGTAAGAGGAAAACAAGACACCTGGCTTTATTTTAGGACAACTCAAGCTTAAGGGGAGGAAACGGGCATTCAGTGATGTCTGTCTGTCCAATTTCAGGGTCTGCCCAGATCACTTGCAGGGTTAGGAAAGCTCAGTTCTCTTCACTGCAACTACCTGAACAGAATGTTTCAAAGCTAATAAATACTATTTACAACAGTAACAGGAAGATGGCAAGGAAAGGAAAACACAAGACAATCTGAGACCGGGTCTACACAAGAATTTTCATCAACCAGCTAGAAGCCAATAAATTAAATCCATACAGTCCTCTCAGGAGGCACTTCTGGTTTAAGCCTTACATTGATTTAGTTTGTTGGGAAGGAACTGACTTAAGCTAAATAGATTAGCCTTAAGCAGACTAAAGGGCATCCATCTAAAATATTGCATAAATGTAACAAAACCTGCTTTCTAAACAGATTTAGTTAAACTAGTGTAATTCTCCCACACAGTGTGTGGTAAGACAGTGACTATCTTTGCTTAATTTCTCAAGGGTGGAAGCAGGGAAGCCCACTAGGACTGCATTCAATGCACAGAGAAACCTACCCTGCTAAGTAATGAAGAGACTGGAGGGGAGAAGAAAAAGAGCATGGGGAGGACAATTCAGCAGCACCAGGGACCAGCCCTCTCCTGCCTGTGCTGTGAACTCAGCAGTGTCAGGGCCCTTTCTTGTCCCCTCAGCAGCAGGCTGCACATGTGCTTCTCTATCCCCCCAAAAGGCTCTAGGGCTGTAGACCAGCAGGCACAGAGCTGTGGTGAGACTCTAAGCACCATCATGCTGCATCTCCTCTCTCTCTCCATTACCTTCTCCCAAGAAAACCATCACCCACATGCTCCCATTGGTTTTGCACAATTCACCCTTCTCCAGAATGTCTTTGTGCTCAGATCAGGCTGTGTGCATTTACAGGCACACACACCCACCAGTCACTGGCACACTGCTGGCATCATCTGCCATCATAATTCAGTGCTGCCCTTGCAGTGTTAGACAGGAAAGGGATAAAAGCAGAGACAGGGACTGTGTGTGACGTGAGGAAGGGAGTTACAAAGACAAGAGATCCCATCTGTAGTCACAGCCTCATCAGTCAATGCAGAAGTTGAACTCCCTCTCTTTTGTACTTTGGTTCACTGAGGATGACAAGTCAGGGGAACTTTGGTTGAAAATATGTGGGAAGGAGGGAAGTCAAGAAGTCACTCTTTTTTATTTTTAAGACGTGGCATTGACTCTTCTGTCTATTTCAATTATCTTCAGTGTTTCATTTCCTTCTAGTTCCGAGTTGACTCTGTAGGGAACAAAAAAACAGAGGTTAATGCTAACAGTAAGTTTTTTAAGCACATATCCTGCTTGATTTGGCTAATGCTAAAGAGCCAAATTCAGTATTTCCCAGCTAGGTATTTGTCAGTTAGCTGAGTCTGGTAACATACTAAATTATACTGAAGTAGTCATCTCTTTGGTTCTATGCAAGCAAAGGGGCAGCAGATGAAAGCATATATATTTAAACCAGTGACTCTCTTTTCAGAGGCCTGAAAAACTTACATTTATGCTAAAAAAAAAAAGCAAACAAAAAAAAAATCCCTTACATTTATGCTAAAAGTGAGGGAACTCAGTGTGGGAACTTAAGTAGTCAGATAATTGTAGATGTCTGTCTCTTGAGACTGAGTCCTGCAAACTTTCAGCAGTAATGCTTTAGTAAAATCACCGCTGTGAGAAACTCCAGCTCTTCATGCCCTAACCTCATTGAAATTCCAGTGAATCACAACCTCACACTTTCATACAACTGCCAAAAGCTTATTCCTTTGGGAAGCACAGAAGAAAGTGCTTTAAAGAAGGGGGCAGGCCCATCTAACAGGCTTACAGGGGTTAGGTTTCTGGCAGAAGCACCAAGTTTGGTAGCTGTATTACTACAATTATGATGCAAACAGTTCTCCAGAGCAACAGTGACTTTGCCTACAGGCTCTCCAGATAAAAGCCAAACTCTTACTTCATGTAAGTAAGCTTAGCTGAGCTTCCTTCCAGCTGAGCATAGCTGAGCTGCTAGCCTAACCTGTGTCCTTCAGGCATGAACAAGAGTGACACAGAACACCCGTGTGACAAGCAGCCTACCCTGCACTCACCTGTGCTGCTGCAGGCCCAGCAGCACTGATTTCTCTAGCCTTGTCTCGTTGGCTATTGTGAACTGCATGATTTCATCCTGCTGTGTCCCTGGCACAGCTTCCAGGGACAGTGCTGTGAACTTGGAGGTGTCTGTTTGTCTGTCACTGCGATCTGCGAAGGAGATCGGGCTGGATGGCTCCTCCAGCTGTTGAGGCTCTTCATAAATTAGGAGGCTCCTTGACCTCACTGCATACAAAGACAGAAGGCAAAATGAGAACAACCTGGTCATTTCAGGAAATGGAAATTGTTAAGGCAGAGCCAAAGCTGCAAAGGCCTTTTCTTTTCATAGTGATTAACTGGCAATTTGAGAGCTGAAGAAAAAAACCACAGGAATGGTCTTGGTAGAGATCAAAAAGCCCTAAATTATTCAGAAAACAAGAACAAAATTAAACAATAACTTTGATAATATATTGGTTCATTATGGTTATGTAATACTAACAGCAAAGAAATAATTTGTGCATTTTAACAGTATGAACATCTGCTACCGAGTAGAAACCCTGCTACCCTTCACAGACCACTAACTTTAGTTCTTCAAGCAGAAGCAAAAAATTCTTTAAACAGAAGTACCAAGCAGGCTAGTGGGGAAAATATTTTGCTCATTTTTATGAAGTCTGCTGCCATCAGCATAGTTTGCCAAGCTATCCTTCTTAGAAAAACACAGGTATATATTAAAAAATGGCCATTTAAGGAGCAGAAATGCAAGAGGTGCTTGAGAAGGGGGCTGGGAATGGGTGTGGAAAACAAGTGCTTAAAAACAACCAAGCAAAGAGCAAGACTGGAATAGCTGTCACTTACCAATGGAATCTGTGTAGGACTCTGGTGAGGAATGCTGCCTGGGCAACACCATCTTTGTAGCAGAAGGATATGGCCCATAGCTCTGAGAGAAGCTGCCAAAAACTACTGCAAAGCACAGCACCACCATCTGGCAAAGGGAGGAGGCAGGAGAGGTGAGTGCACTTGACCCACATGCGCACATGAGAACTGATACTTTATCAAAACAAACCATTTGGGGCCATCCTCACCATTGCACACCTACCAAAGGCACCTACACAATAACAATTCAGTGCTTCAAAGGGCACATCTCAAAACTGGGGTTTGTTTTCAATGTCTGCACCAGTCTGACCAGCTGCCTTTTCTACTCACAAAGCTGAAATGCAGATAAAGCTGCCATGTGTGTTTTACAGGCACTGCTGAGGATTTCCAAAGTTATTTCTGCTGCTGGCCCCAGTCTTGCTTCCAAGTGACAGTGAAGCTAGACTGGGAGAACAGCTTATGCCTTGTAAATTATTTCCATCAATTTACAGCACTTTGGGTATAAAGGGAACTTGATAGCTGAGTGTAAGGAGGGAAAAGCAAATGTTTCATTCTACTCATTTTCTTATCTTGACTACTACTACTACTGAAATAGGACAGAGGTAGATTTACAGCCTCAGTCATATTTTGATTTGGTTGAGCAAGTTTATTTTTATTAGTATCAAAAGTACGAGCCTCAAAGGTCACCCTCATTTTCATTTTACAACTCTAGACACCATTTCCACCATATAATACTGCAGGAAATAATAAAGTGGGTCCCTTGGAAGAGCATTGCTCCTTCTTTCATCACTGCAGCACCCAACCAAAAGCAGAGGCCCAGTCTCCTCCAGAACTCAGTACCTCCCCACAATCATTAATCTTCATCAGTCACAAGTCTCACCTCCCTCAAAATTATGAAAAAGAGTTAAATCATGAAAAGGAGTTCCCTAAGCTGCAAATTTGCCATTGAGAGGCTTTGCAGAACAAGAGATGTTCCTTGAGAGAGATTCTCCTTCCCTCAGAATTCCCAGCCTTAGGAATACTCACCATAAGACAGGTCCCTGTTTGTGTGCTAGCTGCCTTACACGAGCGGGACACTTTGCCAGCAACCATGGCTTGGAGCCTCTGCAACTGCTGCAGAAGTGTTCTGGAAAGCAAAGATAACAAACAAGCATCACACACACTGACCTGGCTTGTTGGTTAAATGGATTTTTGTTCCAAATTCCACACATGGCAATAATACAGCATTTAGGATAAGGTAGAGATAATTAAAGTCTTCTTAAAATCACTAGCAAGGAGTGTTTTTAATTTTACAAAGTTTTTATATGTTATAGCACAGAAATGTTCAAGATTTTTTGCTTTTCCCTCAGCTTATGTCCCTGAACAATTACTTCTTCAGTACTTTCAGTAAGTTTTTATAAATAAAAGTTGTATTTTCAGTGTTTCTATACAAAATGGCACATTAACAACTGAAACTGCTCTGCATGCAAGTGACCAGCTGCATATATAACCTGACTCTATGTCATGAATTCAGCTGAAGTTTTGCCATTATTTTTAAAGATGCAAAATCAAGTTTATAACTGCTTAGTTGGTTTTAAAAACCTTCAACTTCTCTAGTCAGTTATCTAGTTGGTTATCAAAAGCCCCTTTTCCCAAACTCTTACTATTTAGATGTTTAGAACACATGCTGGCTGACTTTTAAAGAGAAGAACTTAAAACCAGACATAGGCACAGACTTCACTTCTCACATTCACTTATTAAATCAAACACTTTAATGCTATTTGTTAAATCCTGCAGAGTTGACAACAATTGCAGATGCTTCAAGTGGGTACTCTGTGTCTTTGACAATACTCTTGTGGCTAGATTCAACAGTCCCAGACCAGAAGAACCTTTCTGACTGGTTTTTGTTTTGTTTGGTTTTGCTTTTTCTGCTGTAGCATCAATTACTACAGTCAGAACACAAAGTATGATTGGTACAGGATTTTCACATAACTCTTTTTAACAATCTATTAGCAACCCAAACGCCTGTCCTCAACACAAATATAGTATAATTTTGTATCAAGATGCTAAATTTTCTATTTGTTCCCAAGTTTACTTTTCACTTCTCCTGTAAGTTTCACAATCTACTGTGGAGGATACCCCACAGAAACTCCAGACAGTTTTGGAGGCTGTTACGTCAAAAGCTAAAGCAAGAGGCAAGGTCAGGATGTCAGAGAAAATAGAAAGAGTATTTTAAGACCAAACTGGCTAAAAGCTAATTGTGGGACAGACCCAGAGGTGCCTTCACAGCTCAATATACACTGGTCTGCCTATTTTCATAGATTTTTTTAATCATCAATGCTCATTGCTAATTAGGGTTTAATGAATTCAAGGACTTCAGGAATACATTCTGAAACGAGCACAAGGCATTCTCACAGCACAGATTTATCTGGGCCAGCAGATCCTTCTCAACTTGTTAAGAAAGGATATCTTGAATGCTCTTGAGAGCATGGCTTACTCTGCAACTCAGTATTTTAAAAAGAGAGCAATATGCCCACTACAATCCTTTATTCAGTAATACAGAGACCACAGGCAAATTAAGAGATACAAACAGTGTCCCCCACCTAAATGAGACCATCCTAACTCCCTGCTCCCTTTGGCATCTCTCCCCAGTTCCTCCTGACATCCACTGCATGGCACAGGGTTCACCAGACCTGTGCACATCATTTCCTGGCACAGAACACCTTGCCCACAGTATTCCCACCACGTGCCACCAGCTGGGTTAGACAGCAATGCCCTTCCAACCCTGAACTTTCTGTGCTATTTTGGAACACTAAATCTTTCCCCCATTTCAGGCCTGACTCACTAGAGGAAGGAGCTCTCCTTCTCCTCCTCCTCCTCCTCAGCTTGGGGGCTGGCAGCAGCAGCAGCAGCCTTGAAATGCTGATCATTCCTGCCACTTTTTGTGGAGGCGTCAGTGAGAAAACAGCTAATGGCTGGTGAGGAAATCAACAGAGAAGAGGCAATTCTCCTCAGTTTGTTCATCTCTGCCTTTTCATGCTCAGTTTAAAAAACCTGTTGGGCAGAGTGGGCCCAGAGAGCTGATTACAAAACAGTCTCTTTGGAAAGTGTAATTAGGCAGGTATTCTGAGGTCTTCTATAGACAGAGGAAGATTCATCCTCCACCTTATTTACCAAATACCTTCACATAAAATGTCTTTCTTCCCCCAGTCATTTATCTGTTTGAGCAGAGCTACTGTTTCCTTCTCAACAGACAAGGACTCAGTGTTTGGAGCTGACAGGATACAGGTGCATTTGCAAACTGTGAGCAAGAACTGAGGCAAGAACAAGAAACAAGTTTGATCAGAGATGACATCAGTTTATCCTGCCACTGCCAAAATGAGACACACCTTGGAGCATTTATTCTCTGTTTGAATCTGGAATGGTGAAAGACTGGATTCTGAGGTCAAAAGATTTCCATGCAAAAGCTTGTAACTGGACAGCTGCAAGGGTGATCTGGACCAGGAGAGACAAAAGGAGCAGATCTCTGATGCTCCCTCTAAATACCAGTAGAAAGGCCACAAATGCTTTTAGTGGAATACACTGCCTATGGGTAAGTCCTAACAGGAGAAAATGCAATGCCAAGACAGCATGCTAAGGGGGTTTGCACCCACAGGGATTATTTTCACTGTGTCTGACACATTTCCCAGGGATATTCAATTAGAGGGTCAATTCTTTAGGAGGTGTGAGTGTGCTTTCACGCTTTTCCCTGCCAATGGAAGCACCTCATAGGAAAGCTGTAAAGTGCCTGAAGACTCCTGCACTTCCTTCTACATGCTGCCAGCAAACTCAGTCTGTCAGTGATGGCTTGGTTTTGGTGCATATTCACAAATATTCATTTTCAGAAGAGGCCTTTTCACTACCAAAGTATGGAGCAAGTCAAGCCTTCTCCTCTGCTTCCAGTGATACTTTAATTAAGGAGAGAAAACTTGTCATTACAGAAGCACCTGGGAGACTTCCTCAAGTCAGTATTTCTGTTTAAAATCCAACATTGATGCAAAGAAACAAAAAAACAACCAAACGACATCTTCTAGGGGACACCAAACACTTTATCCTAATCAAAAGCTTTTAGAGGATTATTCCTATTGTGTGAGGAACAAAACCCAATTCTGATAAGGAGAGAGACAAAAATATTCTGTCTTTTAACTCTACACAGAGATTCTTCTCTGTCTGTCCCATTTGTAGCAAAGGGGACAAACCCCAAAGTTTTAACTAAAAGACCACTTAAATCCACAATCTTCCCTCATTTGAATTACAAAGAAAATCTCCACTAATTTTTTCATAAAAGATGTTTCAGCATAAAAGCCTAGTAAGTAAGTAAGTAAGGAGTTACTCCAGGGCTGCCAAGCTTTGTCAACTATTGCAAGGGTGGCCTGAAATTAGGTGCAATATATCTCATTGCAACTTAAACCTAGATCCTTTACTCCTTGAAAACAATTTGCTAAAATGACTTTATCAGTCTCAAATGAATGAACACCCAATCAAATCAGTGAAGTCTGGCAGCTTTGGTGCTGATAAACCCTTGGTGGGTCAGAGTGATGTGCAACTTGATCTTTAGGTGACTGGGAGTTGAAGGAATGGAAGAATATCCTATTTTTATTTACAAGGCATTGCCTTTAAGGTGCTTGTAAGTGCAGATCTACACAGCTGGCTGCTGTTACTCCATGGGAGCAACTCTGGCAGCCACTTGCATTCACTGTCCATGGGTGACACTCTCATGCACTGGATCCTATGTCTATCATCTCTCCAGGAACAGAGACCATCAAGGTACTTACAAATACAGAATCAACAAAAGTGAGAAGCAAAAGCACTTTTCAACACATGATACCCAGCACCAGATGTTTCAAAATTGTATTTAAGCCCAAACAGACTCCCAGAGAGACCATGCTGGTGTCAGAGAATGTTTGCAACCCTCTGGATCACTGGCAGGTTCTGCCTTTGGTCTCAGTGCCAAAATATGAGTGGGACAAGCCTTCTTGGTGACTGGGACAACTTACTTCAATACCCAGCCCCAGCTTCTTCTCCCACCCTTTGCTTTCTGAGAGAGCAGTGTCCCACATGCTTAGATGCTACTCAAACCAATGGCTCACTTGTGGCTATAAGACAAAACAGGTAAGCAGGGAATAATGGGCTTCCTTAGTTTTGAGAAAACTGCCTAGGAAGGAACTTGGATGGGTTTCTTTTAAGGGATTGAGTCACACAAATGAGGAGAGGTAACATATGCTACTGTTCTAATACTAAAGCTGACAAAAATGCTGCACTCACCCACTCAGAGTAATGAGAATTAAAAACTCTGGCATCTTGATCCCCAGCCTCCTGCCTTGTCTTTTAAGATGTGTGAATGCCAAGGGAGATGCTCCTGGATGCAATTTTTTTGACCACACCCACACCTTTGACATTACAACTTTTCAAACCCAGATTTTCAGGCTAAGGCTGTCTTTCAAGGAAGAATTTTCTAAATTTTTTTCATGTTACTGAGAGTAACGAAGGAAAACTTTTATCAGAAAAAAATTCTCGTGTTTCCATGGTTTGGAGCCAGATTTTGAAATGCAAGCAGGGTTTCCCTGAAGTCTTAGGTATGTATCTATGCAAATGTTTTCTATATATAGATTAACATACTCTTAAAATCTGATTGCACATACTGAAAGGAAACTGCTGTTCAATAGTTGTATGTTTTGGAAATTGCTCTTCAGTTCCTCTCAATCCAGCCAGACTACACAAACATGATAGTGACTGACAGTAATACATGTTCATTAACTTTTAGGTAGGCAACTATAGCCCAAGTTTTCAACAAGGTAAAAATCCAACTTTGTCTACATCTACAGTTGAAAGCATTGTTTCAACACATAATCTTATTCTCCTGGTATCTTTCTTCCACTCTTACAGTCTTTCACAATGGGAGAACAGCTTTGATGTTTGTAGATCTAATTTTAGATAATATGTTCAATAATGTCTTCATTTTTTACTGAAATGAATACTCAAAGTTACACCTAAAGTCAACTAGGGCTCTGCTTTGGGCATATTAAATAAGATACATGTGTGCATAACTGTGCTAGGTACTTAGAGAAATAAAGTCCTAAACATATAAAATCAGGTATCTGACACACCAAACTGACACTAAATAATTTTGACCACCACTGCTCCAAACTTAGATTCCTGACTGTATGTAGGAGATGAATGTTCCAGCTATAGGATGCTGTGAAGACAAGTTCTGAAACATGTGAACAGTTTCTGGATGTCATGCCAAAGCTCTGTGCAAATACCAATGAGGAAATGAGACATTTTGCATTCACTGTAGGATGTGGATCATGTACATTAAACCAGGGCCTGGAACCATCCTCTGAATGAGACAGTTGCACAATTATACAGTAAAGAGGAAAAGTGGCTTTTTGGAATTAAGGTGAAAAACTCTATAATATGATATGTTACAAAACTGAGGTTTGATGAAAGCAGGCACTTTAACAAATTTCTCAGTATTTCACACATAAGCCTTAGCAGATTTTAGACACAGTTGATATCTAAATAGCCAAAACATCATTGCCATGAGTTACAAGAATTTCTGTGCAGAAGGATGAACATCTGCTTCTCTGCATGAGATTACAGATCAATATCAATGCTATTGCAGAGGGAAGGAAACAATGCAACTCATCCCACATGGGGAAAGTATGAAGGATTTGGAGATCATATCACTTACCTAAAACTTTTTAGAGCATTTAGCATGAAAGAATTAAGATAATCAAATAGTAGGTAAGATGCCAAAGGTCCTTTTTGAAAGGATAGACAACAAAGCTTGAGTGAATCCTCAACAGCATAGAGATGAAAACAACAAGCCAAATTTATTTTAACTGGGGAGAACAACTCCAGGGTTGATAACATGTTGCCCCAAGGGGATAATCTACAGCTGCAGCTTTTCTTAAGAGAAATTGGCTTCAGTACCTTCTGGGACAGATTCTGGGTGGGACATCTCTACCCCACACCTACAGAATAGTTGCTGGTTTTTTTGTGTCAAACCCTGGAGGACGATATAAGAGGCACAGAAATGGCTTGGCTCTCTTCAAGCAAGCAGCAGATGTCTTTATGCATGAGCAGTGTGTGGGAGACACTCTGCAGCAAGTCACAGTGCTACAGGGTCTGGCTTCATGAAATCAGAGATACGATCCAGAGATTAGAAACAACACATGCCACTCAATTAGCAATGCACTGGCTGCCAGATCAGCTCTAGGGCCATTTTCCATTTTCTTATCTTCAAAACCCAGCTTCCCCCCACACATCAGTGTCACCATCATGCTCCTTGGTAATATTCAGCCACCACTGCAAATGCCTCTAACTGGGAAGTGTTGAGGGTGGGCTCATCTGGTTCCTACTCACTGGAATTTGCCACTGAGCATAAGCCAGGATTGACACTGTGCTCTCTCAGCTAACATCAAATTAAAAGCTTAGCTATTCAACATCTTCTGCCATGTGTCCTTTGAAAAAGCCACCACTGAGTCACCCATTTTTTCAGAAATGAAGAAGCAAGAAGATGGTTTTCCCCTCCAAATGAAGGAAATTCTGGGGTGTGAGATAGTTAGAAGGGTGCACAATAATTGCAATGACATCTAGTAGTGCATAAGGAAGTAATAATGACTTTTGAGTTTCAGCGCTGTTAATTCTGGAAGTGTCATGTCTCAAATTAAGGCTTCCTGGCAAAATTCACTAAATAAAGACAATTGGGAGAGCTAGACTGTAGGCTTTTTTGTTTTGTTTTGTATTGCTAATTACATTCCCTTGGACAGTGGAGGAACTCAGAGAAGAGTGCTAAAAGGTTTCTCAAGCACACCACAGGCTGGGGAGGCAGTTTAAGACATGACATCAAAACCTCCATGCTTTACATCCCACTGCAGTCACAGTAACTGGCATTCCACATCTTTCTCTGACATGAACCCTCTCAGACACAGCTATTGTTCACACCTCAGTTGATCTCTTAACCTCCAGATTTTCACTTTGCATGGTGGTATCCCACTACCAAGTTCTGTTTGATGATATCCATACCTTACCTGTTAGTGTTCTCCAGGACTTCAACCTTCTTACGCAGCTCACTGTTTTCATTTGAGCAGGTCTCAACTCTGGAGACAGCACAATGAAAGAGAAATATAAAAACATCAGTTATTTATTCAAGTGATTGTAAAACAAGCCAAACTTGCTTTCACTGAGAGCTCCATGATCTTGCCTGCATTTTAAGAAACAATTACACCAATGAACCTTAGTCGTAATATTTAATCACACTTTGTAGCATGAAACACAAAGCAAAAGTTGCATTAGCTGTCTGGCAAATGCCATGCTTCTGAAATCAGAGCCTCAAATTTCAAGTTTATGAGGGCTAATAAGCCACAAGATTAAGTACAGTGCTCAAGACTGTCCCAAGATACTACCCATTTCCAAATCACCCCTGAAATCCCCAAACTAAAGGACTTTGTCATACAACATGTAAGAGGTCCAAGTAAAATATGTGACTCCTAAGAAAACAAATAGAACCATCCTGAATAGCTTCAAGAAGAAAAAAGGGAAAAGAAAATATCCTTGATATCTGGTATGCATGAGGTGGAATTTCAGAAGAGTAACTCTGAGGAAGCAAGGCAGAGCTATAAAGAGACAAGAAAAAAATGGAAATTACATCAAGGATATCACCAAAGATGGTACAAGAGTTTTAACAGAACCATCTGGTGAATTGCATAAGAGTAATACTAGAATATTCATCTCCTGGAAGAAAGATTAATTTGGGATATAAATCACTAACTGGGGGTTGGGTCCTGCTTGCTAAGGGAAGTCCATGGGTCACATGCTATTTTCCCGAGTCCTGCTTATTTTCCCAGGCAGTCCTGACTCACCCACTTCCTATTTCTGTTTTCATCTGCACTGGAAGACAGAGTTCACTCGCTCTGGATCCATCTTTCCCTGAATACTGCCTGTCCACTGGCCAACACAGTCGCCTGAGGTGAAGGCCAATGCAGCTGGGTCTTGCCTAATTTAAGGCGTGAAGTGTTTGCTGGCACATTAGCGACCCGCTGCAGGCAGGCACGGTCCTGACCCCGACAAGCAGCTGCCAGGAGCAGGGCCTTTTCTCAGTCACTGCCACGAGATGGCAGCTGGCACTCTGTGCATGGAACTGTCCCAGCAGCCACAGCTGGATCCCTTCCCAGTCCCACAGCTAGTGCTATTGGCCTGCTTGAAACAGGAAGGAGGCTGGCTTACTTTTTTTCCAGACTGTCCATGTATTCTTTCTTTTTTCTTCTACTTTCCTGGGCAGAGATCTAAGGAAAAAGGATGAAAAACACCAAATATTTGCAGAGAAAACAAAAGCATCAGAGACAAATTAATAAACTGGTAAAAAGCCCCAGTGTTATTGGATTCAAGCATCTGTCTTGTTCTCATTTCTATTCCTGGCAAGCAAAGCACTGACTTGATCTATTTCCACATTCTGAAGCAAGGCTCCTCCTTTCAATCACACAAAAAAAGATCATCCCCTGCTAACTTTAAAAAAGAAATCAGATTCATCTGGAGAGAATATCCCAGGACAAATACCAAAAGATGATCTCAGGATGATGCCCTGCATCCAGGAGAGAAAAAGCCCATGAATGTATTAGAAAGCAGCTTTGCAGACAAGGACATGGGGTCCTGATGAACAAGTCAAACAACTGTCAGCAGTGTGCCCCTGTTGGAAAAGCAGCCAGCCAAACGTGGGTCTGCATCAAGGAAATTGCAGTTAGCAGGTCCAGAGGAGTGGTTCTTCCCCCTCTGCTCAGGGGCTGCAAAACCACAGCTGACTGCAGCAGTGCAGCCCATGGCTCAGAAACAAATCCTCTGGATGTACAGAAGCAGGCCCAGAGGCAGGGCTCTGCTATAATAAGCATGCCAGAGCACATGACATTTTAGAAAAGGAAGAAAAAGATGGGCTTGTTCAGATTGAAGAAGAGAAGGCCAAGGAGGGAGTCTGATTTATTGCTGTCTTCAACTATCTCATGCAGCAAAGATGATGTCAGAGCTCTCAGAGGCACACAGCAAATGACAAGAGGCATCAAATACAAGTTGCAGCAAAGGAAATTCCAGTCACACATTAGGGATTCTATTTATTTTTTTTTACCACAAGAGTGTCCTAATATGGGAACATGGTGCCCAGAGACACAGGGGACTCATCATCCTTTGCAGCAGTAAATTGTGACTGGACAAGACCCTGAGCAATCTTCTCTAAGCTGACCCTGCTTCCCAAGCCAGGGCTTTGACCAAAGGACCTCCAGATTTCTCCTCAATATAAATGACTGATTCTATGTAAGTGGTACATGAAATGCACAAGATCACTTCAGAAAATTTTGAAAAAACAGTACAAGACCAAATTCCAATTTAGCGTGTCCAAATTTACACCTCTATCTGCTAAAACCGGTAGCAGACTATAGGAACCACGAAATATGTGCTAAAATCCTCTAGAACAAGTGAGCTGGCCAGGTCTGAAAAAAATTGCATTCTTCTCTATCACTAGGATCTTCCCCATGTCAGAAGGAAAAAAAAAAAAAAAAAAAAAAAAAAACACAAAAACCAAAAAACAAAAAACAAACTCCCGGGGCATTTGGCATATTTGATGTCAACTTTACAAGTCACTGAATTCAGTGATCAAAAGACTAGTGCATTGAAATACAGAGTAATATTTTAAACAGGAAACAGAAAAGAACACCTTCCTCACCATGCAGAGAATACAGAGCTCTTTGCCCACCATAAGGGTAGGATTGTTCTGATTTTTAAATGGAGCCAAGCCACAGCAACTTGATACCCTGCCTGCTAAATACTCTATTGTGAATGGGCTCAGGTAAATACCTACACTGAGGCACACTCACACTGACAGACAATTTGATGGATGTGTTTAGGAACAAAGAAAAGCACTTTGTTAAAAGACAACTTACAGCATTCAACAGTACCAGGGACCATTACTGCAGAATTCTGCAGCATTTTCTAAAATGAAGGACAAGCATGACCCACCCAGCAAAGCTAACTAACATTTACCTTGTTTTTGATTTTCCTGCGGATTTTCTTTAGGACTTTCTCCTCTGCTTTTGTCAGGGGTAGTTTGGTAGGGATTGGGTAGCCCTCTGCTATCAGTGTCCTCTTCTCTTCCTCTGTCAGGATGAGGGGGCCAGTCCCCTGTAATTTCTTCAGGGGTCATAGAAATGAAATAAAATAAAATGAAACAGTAAGTGCACACAGTCCTAGAAGAAAAGGTTGTTAGGGAGGAGAGGCAGCAGGTCTCCCACTCCAGGCAGGACCAAGCCTACTAGGACAGCCTCCTGCTATTGGGAATGTGTGGAAGACCTTACAGGTAACTTCCATTCTGAGTTCAAACCTTTGGGACAGGATTCCCTCAAAAGAGTTGTTCTTGGCCCAGCTCTGTCCACACTGAGGCCGACAGTATAACTGCCTTTGGCTCAAACAGGGACAGAGACACATGAGAAACACCACTGAAAATCCCTCCCTAAAGATCACCACCTGCTAACGACATGACAAGAGGACAGATGCAGATCTACCAGAGACAGGTCAACCCAGCAGGGCTGGGCCCCGAGGCAAAACACAGTCCATGATGGGATAAACCTAATAACACTGGTGAACCCTGTCTCAACCTGGAGGAGAGGCACATGCTGTTCCCTGTGGGAACAGAACAGACCGGTGAGCAAGAATTACCGGATCTGCAGTTTTGACCAGAGATGAATTCATCGAAACAACAACAGAAAGTTAGCAAATCTCTGTCAAAACCAGTAATTTAAAAAGTGAAAAAAATAAAAAAAGACACACAGATGGAGAAAGCCAGTTCAACTCACATGTGGTGCAGTCAGGAGAGGGGAATTGGAGAGCATCGAAGCTGTGCGCGACGCAACCTTGGCCGTGGCCTGGAGCTGCACTGGGCTGGAAGGAGGGAGAGAGCGAGCCGGGCTCTGCCCTCCCTCAGAGTCACTGCCGTGGCTGCTCGGAGGGGTGGGAGGCAAATGCAGGGGATCCACTGCTACAAGGCAACAGAGACACAAAGTAACACAAGGGTTTAAGGTGTCCATTCACACTGCCACTACAGCCCCACCACCACACAGTTCCCAGGACTAGGAGCGTCTCCTGAAAAATGGATCAAGCAGAAGTGGCAACTTGGAAGAGGTTTGGAGCATGCAGGTCTCCAAAGAAGGAATGAAATGCAGCAGCTATCTTTAGGTTTGACAGACAAAACAGGGCTCTGTGCATATGCTCCAGTCACTTCTACCTACACTTCAGCTCCTTCTTCAAATGCTTTGAGGTTCATGTATAATGTAAAGTACAAGTTCCCTGTTCCTGGGAAACCACATTAACAGAGGGGCTCTGAGCCAGCATACTTTCCCTCCAAAAACAATAGTATTTTCTAACTTTGCCATGGATTAAACAATCTGCCAGTATTTGCAAGGGAAGGGATCACATCCAAGGAATTACATGATCAGGAAGGAGAGAAAGGCCTCCTAAGGACATGATTTGGCACAGCTGGGAAGTGACTGACAACCTAGTGACAGCAAAGGCTTCAGTGCACTGATGGAGCAGGAGCAGCACAGGCAGCCACCACAGGAACCTCTCTCACAGTGTCTATCCAGGGCCATAAGATAACCTCAGCTGCAGCCAAAAGAACCTGCTCTAGAATTGTCAGCCAAAGTGCTGCTTATGATCAAAAGGGTCTGGACCAAGAGAAACAGGGCATGTCTCACTCACTCTTACTAAATGGACAATTTAGCAGATGCCCAAAACAGCCATAACTGAGTCACACTTTCTCTGAGCTAAATTTAAAGCAATTGAATTCTGAAGTAGGAAGACACAGGGCTGATCTGCCACCTTCCACTTCTGTTATGCTTTGCAAATTTGAGTTGAAAAGATCAAATGGGTGGTAAGGGAGGATGGAAGAAAAATAGTAAAAAAAAACACTATAATACTCTTTTAATCTCACACAGTAGCTCTTGCAGTTGCCAGAAGAAGAAACATATTTGAAAAACAGAAAAGCCCTTAATCCCACAAAGTGAGCAAACAAATCTACACCTGGGTTGAGATATCCTTTTATCCACCTGCTACATCATTTGCTTCTCTCCCTGGAGCAGTGCTACTTACCCACAGAAATTAATTCACTAACAGAATATCAAGTGTTTCTAACTGAAATGCAGTTATCTGCTCAGATCTCACACCAAATATTTGGCTCTTCCAAATTTTCATGGCTTTAATTGTGTTTAGCTTTCAGGGTAGGGATCTTTGCTCCTCCTTTCACATTAGAGTGCAAGTACAAAGAGATAATGATTGTTCTTAAAACTAATTTGCTACAAACAGATTCACCTAACTTTTGTTTTCATATAAATTCACATCCTGCTTTTGCATCAGAGGTTAACAGTAAAGTTTCTTATATCTTAACTAAGTCTCCTCAAATTGATTTCTTTTCTATCCTAAATAATCTTGTCCTTGAATAATTCAAGCTCCCTTCAGTACAATTATTAATATCCTACAGAGAAAAAGGGATCATTTTCTTTGTGATGAAAAAGGGGGGGGGGGGGGTGTGAAAGAAAGAAAAAAGAAAGAAAAAAAACTTCCCATAAAGGCTCAGAGAGACTCTGGCTCTTCAATAGCCTGAGTTGAATCCCTATAAAATGACAGCTTCAGCCTAAAATCTGACATGGTGAACGAGAAATCCAAATATTTAATCAGGGTAAAGTACATTTATTGTACTTGCTGGACATCTAGCCCTACATTTTCATTTGGTATTTAACAGACCTTCCTTAGAAGAGAGGTTCAGGAACTGATCCACTTCATGGGGCTCCAATTTAATCTCTGGAAGAACTTTCTGGATCAGTGGTTTCATCTAGAAAAGAGAAATTAACAGCATGAAAACCTGGAGTACATATCTTAAAGTCTTAATAGAAGGCCACAAGGATTACTTCTCCATAAATGGAGAGGTTTCCTCTCCTCCTGCTCTGCCACAGGCAAAGCTTTAACTGCTTCACACAGTTTGCTAAACCAGGCTACAGAGAATATTGCCCTGACTACTCCCACTATGGCTTTTCTTACTACTATATTTAGCTAAAATAAAAGATTACGCCTCAGAGATGACATTTCAGACTGAAAGCTAACATGTAACCCACTCCAATTACTTCTCTTAGCAACAGAGCTGCTGCTAGGATTTGCTGGACTGCAGGGTCTGTTTGAGCAAGGACAGGAACACCCCTGGGAGTCAGGGACAGCCTCTTAAAGGCCATTGTCATCTGTGAGCAAGAGCAAGGTGCCAGTCGCTGAGCACCTTGGGTTTTGGGATGCAGGTTCCTTTCACAGTGCTGAGGAGCAGGAAAAGAGACAGTCACTGCTGACTGAAGTTTGGAACACACCTGGCCTGCCCCACTGACCAGGCTGGGGCACCAGGCTGCCAAGCTTTGCCCAGAGCCTGTCTGTGTGCTGCAGTGCCAGGCCTGAGGAGGCCACACTGGCACACCAGCAGGCCAACTGCAGCCAAAATCTCTCTCAGTAACCTGTGTAACTAATCCATGCAACAGCAGTGAGCCACCAGCAGGTCCCAACACTCTGCAAATCACAGCATCCCAAGCTACAGCAGGACTGTGTCCTGGGAACAGCACATTCAAGCCAGGAGAAAATTATGGGAAACTTGTGCTTAGCTTTTTTCAGTTTCTCATAAAATAATTTCTGTTGCACCTATTTCTGATCCACATCCAAGTGGAAACATTTATTTTCAGCATATAACAACTCCCTCCAGCCTGGACTGACATTGCATGCTGGGGGCTGACAACAGCCATGCTTCTTCCTCTGCTGGCTGGGGACCCTGGTGAGCCACCAGCTGCTGCACTTCATTCTCCTTAACCCAACCACAGCCAAACTAAGCTCTTTAGAATGTCCACTGGCTGCTCCAGCTGTGGTCAGAAAAGCATCACAAAGCTCCTTGTGAGGCTGCTGGGTCTGGAAGTAGCAGCAGCCTGAAATGTCAGAGCTTCACAAATCTGGCAAAAGTTACTTTGCAGGGAAACAGGGAAACTCTCCAATCAATCCAAACAAAGAGTCTTGTTCTGCTAAGGGGAAGGCACAGCAGCATTAAAGCAAGGTCTTAGCAAAGACACTTAGCTTGTCACAGGCTTCATAGAGCAAGTGGATTAGGCAGTTCAGGCACAACTGGTTCATTAGAAACTATTCAAATATTTCTAGAAACCCAAGAGCCCCACGCTTTGGGGCTAGCATAGAAGACAAACTTGTATATCCAAACATTAAGAGCTAAAGATGCAGACAACAAGTTCTTACAGCACTAGTGGGGCACCAGCAAACATTCAAAACCATTGAACAGACTGCAGTGTGCACCCTGAACTGCCAAGCTCTGGCACCAAGGAGGCTCCACTGGTAACAGCCTTAGGAGAAGCTGCAGCTAAGTGTGAAGAGAGAGCAGAGTCTGCAGTACCAGGGCATCTGTCTGGAGCTCAGGCTGTTCCCCCTCCAGCGACGTGGCCGTGATGGTGAGACTGACTGAGGGAGCAAGGCCTGATGTCTCACAAAGCCCTGGCTCAGTCTTTATTGCAGCTGGAGTAAACTCTGTAGCCAGACACCATTCCTCATTTTCCAGGTCACCTGCCAGGGAAGGAAATTGGACACCACATGTTTAGATCAGAAACAGAAAGACTACAAATGAAAATAATGTCATTCCTCTTCCAGAGAAGGGAAACAAACACAGAAGACATTTTAGTCTATCAACAAAACTCTGCCCTTACTATTCAGCTTTCAGTCAATGCAGACAACCATGCCATTTCAGGGCTGTAACCTAATCCTAGCCCCAGGATACACAGAGGAGCAGCGAGGAAAGACACAGAGCACTAATCACTGTGCATTGCTGAAAGCTGCTAATTCGTGGCAGAACAAGACTAAACAAGCTCTGGGTAAAGCAGCCAGAGAGCCCTGTCCTAAACAGCCTAATGCCTGCTGACTCAGTTTTATTCCTCCTTCTAGAGATAGCCTTTAGCCAGACTTCTGCATCTTCTACTGCTTGCAGGCAGCAAATAGCTCAAATGGTGGGATTATACTCTTTAAAACAAAGTATTTTACTTAACTTCATTTTTTCCCCCCAAGGATTCATTTAGTATGTGCAAAAGAGGATATAGGCTTTGATGATTTCACAGGAGCAGCAGTGCCATGGTGATCATGCTGATTTCCTCCATAGAGCCTCTGGGAAGTGACAGCACAGGATGCATATTTTATCTGGCAGCAATGAAACGTGCATCACGTGTCAGCAGAATTATCCCCTAACTCCACTTAGTGAAAGCTCCCTAGTCAAGAGAAAGCCATGCAATTCTTTTCTAGACAAAGCTGAAGGGTTTGCCCAGCATTGTCAAGAACTGGAAGAAGGTTGGCACGGCAAGTTTAGCTCCTCATCTCCATTCCATTTCCATTCACTGTTTTACTTGCTGAGAAAGGACTTATTTTCCCAGGTCTGAAGTGTAATAGAGTACTAAGAACCGAGAAAGACTCAACCTTCGAAATAATTCCACAAGGCTATTAACAACCCTTTAAAAATACAAAATAATCAAATGCATTTTTGTCAATTGCAATTCTGCCTTAGAAAACTTCCTGTTCCAACTGAAAGACTCCAGTCTCTCCTCTTGCAGGAGAATATCCTATAGCAGGGGCACTGCATCCCAGCTGCATGTGGCACAGTCCTCTGCCACGACTGAGCAGTGGCTGTCAGAGGCATATCCATTAAATACAGCAGCTGGAATCTCAAAGCAAATATACACAAAAGGAAGAAGAGTGCTGATCTTTCTTTCAAAGCTTTCTACTGCCTTCAAACCGATTCTTTACTGCATATACAAAATTAAAAGAGAGAGAGCAAAACCATACACTGTAGGGCTGGTAAAAGCAACAGAGCTCTGAATTAACTGTGTGCTGCCCCAACATCCTGGGAGGCAGCCATGGGGCTGTGGCTGTGCCACCAGCATTCTGCAAGGCTGCACAAGACCCTTCATTCACAGCTGAGTGCATCAAGCTGGTGAGATGTCAACAGAGCTCAGCTGCAAACAGGTAACAAAAATAAGAGTGGGCTTACAGCCTGTGCTGCTGTGTGTCCTTGCTATTAAGACCACACACACACACACAGAGCACACAGGCACTGGGCAGAAGCTGGGTGCCTGGAGGAAGGGAGGAGAATGTGCATCTCCAGTGCTGGTAATTACTCTGTGGTGGGACCTAACCTCCACCACTGGCAAGGAAGGAGGTAATTTGAGCAAAGGCACACCAAGGAATTAAAAATGAAAAATATGTATCCTGTAATCAGTAGCTCAAGAACAGCAAGGCCAGCGCTCTGCCAGGTTAACTGCAGAGCAAGGGCTAAACACCATATTTAAACTTCTGGAGAGCTTGCTCCCAAAGCTTCCTGGGAAATGCAAAAATGCAAAAATAGAAGTATTTATGGGAAAAAAATAGGTAGGCTTGCCTAAATATTAACTCAGGAGAGAGGACATTGCTCTTTTTCAACCCTCCCTGAGCCTCTCTAGTCACAACACAAAAGCAGCAGCTCCCTCCTAGCTTGCTGTGTATGCATTGTTCAGGTAAAACCTTTAAAGTGGTATCTGCATGGAAACCCAGAATCCCTTGGCAAATGCAACTTTCAAATGCCTGTTTGGATAAGTTGGGTCAAAACTGGCCCCACAACACCTTGGGCAGAGCCTCTCTTTGCTGCCTCTTGCACCTCTGGGTCAAGCTACCCCTGGGACAGCACCATTTTGAAGGCTATGGATAAATTAGAGCTATGAATGAGGCCAGTAATTAGCCCTTAATTTTCTTAAATTTGTATCATCATGAAAGTAGAAGGGAAATCCAGCCATGGGTGACCAGCACAACAGGGCATGTCCTCTAAGGCTGCACTTTATGATGCTTATCAAATCTAATCCCCAGACTCATCATGAATATTCAGCTGCTTTAAGACAGAAAGATATGCTGGCTTTGGCTGGTCACTTCACTCCTCTGGAATCCATCATTTTACTCCTCTGGAAGCCAACTCTGCTGATTAACCTGACATCCCTGCCATCACCACTTAGATCTGCATAAACTGCTCAGAGTTATTCCAGGCTTTAAGCCAGTCTAACCAGTCTGCAGGGTTACAGAGGTTGCCAGGACAGCAACATGCTGCGCTTAGCGCTGAGATAATTCTGAACAACTGCATCTGGCACTCCTCTGACACTGCCTCTCACAATGCATGGTGACAGCTGTCATTCCAGATGAACAATCCTGAAAGGAAGGGATGGGGGACTGGTCAAATCTCACCTTGATACTCTCCTCCCCTTCCCCTGACACCTTTTTCCAAGTTGCAGTTCCACATTCCCTACCTGGATCACGGAGTGTTGTGCTACAAGTTACTTTGTTTTGACACATTCTGGCTTCTGAAGTCACCAACAACCCCTCTCTGCTTCAAGGGATTTCTCACTCTCTTTCCTCCTCTTCCTGAGCACAGCAGGTTGAAATTATCTGAAAATCATTCTTAGTTTACTCTTACAATAGTCCCTTAGCATCTTAGTGTACTCTGCCAAGCACTGCACTAGCAAAGTGGCAACCCTTCTCCCAAAGCCCTTGAGAATGACAAACACAACATGAGAAACATGTTGAACATGAGAATGTTCAATTTGTGTTATGTTCAACGTGAGAAACATGTTGAACCTAACACAAAATGAGAAAAACTTAGGCAAAGAGGAAAAATGGAGCAGGCTAATAAATCAGTGGTCATACAGAGAGGTATGGTACACCCTCTACTCTTATCTAAGACAAGAGTATTTCTCATAGAGGGTTACAGAGAACCACGAGAGAGGTTTCACAGAATAATGAGAACAAGAAAGAAGGTGCATGGGAAATACTGGAATGAAAAGGACAACAGGAGCTGGCTCAAGAGACCCACTGGAGTAAAAGGTGTCTTCTCCAAACCAAATCAAGCAAGATGTGCTGTGGTAAGAGTAAATGACTGGTGTCAAGAACTTAGAGGTGTTTATGTTTATATTTGACGTGACCCAGGAGGTACATGTGAACTCTTGAGCCACAGTCCAAAACAAGAAGCTGAGAGTATGACATTCATGATGATATGAATTCTAGACAAATAGGAATAGAGCAACACTGCATCCTCAAAGGTGAAACAAAATATGCTGCAAGTCATTCTGATATTGAGACAAGAAAGCCTAAACAAGAGATTTGGCTCTCCAAATGGCCAAGAAAATACACATCCTAAGTATTGTCACTTTGGCTCTCTTGAAAAAATCTCTTCTCAGGCTTCAAAACAGTTCACTGTTAAATAAGTGATCCTGGCTGTCAGTTCCCTCCCCAGCTGAAATTTTCTACAAACCTCAGAACTCTATCATGCAATGACTGTTTAGATGAGTAGCATTCCCCTTTACCTACACTTTCCCAAGTCCATGAATGCTAGGCATTTTGGCACATGGAACATATAATTTAGGGAGTCCACACAGTACTTGGCAAAATCCCAGCTAACACTTCTACCTGCAATGCCCTAGTGCTGGTAAATTGCACATGTGAACTGAACATTCAGGCTGCAAAGCACCCAAGTATTAAGAAATACCTGTGAATGTTTAACTCAGTGTCCTTTTGCACATCAAATACACCTAAAAATAGGAATGATTTAATGACGAAACAGTTTCTCTACAGAACCCATGCTTTATCCAACAAGCAGAATGCATGGTGCTCCACTAATTGAGAAGATATTCCATGTTTTGTTCTTTGCACTGGCTCATGCACAGCCTCACCTCTCCTTTACTAAATACAATCCAAATTTTGTTCCCACAGGGCTATTTAATTCCCTCCTAGGGAAACACTGCACAATCTGAATTCATTTTCACAGTGGAGCTGAAAATTCAAGTGAGACACGGGGAGACTAAGGCCAAAAAGTAAATAGCAATTTGAAGTGGCCAACTGGAGACAACTGGAATTGGGTTTTTCAGATGATTTAGTCTTGTTACTACACTTGATCAAAATCCAGCATGCTTTCAGGTTGGGCTGTGAGCACCTACCACTGCTGCAAGTTAAACATCAGAGTTTCAACTCAGCTATCCAAAAAACCCATTCATCACAGCCACCCAGGGTTTGTGACACATGCACGTAAGATCTCCTGTGCCCAAGACTAAAATTACATTTCTTCAGAAAGCTTTTGTGTGCTTATTCTATTATCAAGCTTGTGCCTCTTGTCATGCAGACTTGTTTAGCACACATCTTCCAGTGCACACCTCACACACTGTGATGATGATTGTCAACAGAAATGTGCTCCTCCAAGCACCACAGCTGCAGCTGTAATCAGTGTGTGTGATTTAGGCACACGTGAAAAACACACAACCAACAACAGCTGTGTTTTTACATGTCAGAATTCACAGATACCATTTCTGTGTTTATAAAAAACATTTTTTTAATATATCTGTATTTATACACATATTTTAAAAATTCTACAGTCTCTTAATAAGACCATGTGCAGCTTTCTAGGATATTCATATCTCTCAGAAGAATGGCAACACTTTGTTTCTCTTCTTGTTCTGTGGACATGGTATGGAAAGGCAGGGTAGGCAAAGTGGAAAACAAGGTGAAAAATG